TGCATCAAAACATGAAATCACTCAAAATATTGGATTAATTGATATTTATTTCTTCAAATATGTACAAATCAAAATGTCACATTACATAGCAATGTTCCCACATTGTCAAACTAAGTACTGACATCATTACTCTAATCCAGTCACCTTCTTGCCCACATTCTTTGAGCCAATCAGCCTCCACTCCATGTGGTTTAAATCTCAACTCTCCGTCATTCTCGCTTTCAGACTCCCATTCATGCAACCCACCTCCTCCCCATCTCCACCTCACAAACGCTTCAGCTGGAGCTTCATCCAAGTGTAATCTTTAATTTTTTAGTTTAATTTTTTTGTAGTTTACAGGGGGGGCAAACCTGGAAATCATGGTAAAGAATTTCAAATAAACACCAAGACACAACAATTTATTCCCTCTTTATTGCATGAAATTTGTCAAATTCCGCCCCAGAATGAGGTCTGTCTTTTCTTCGATTTATTTCTTGATTGTCTGCTGTGATGATTATTTCATCTAGTTAAGCGGGATTCCTGTAACCACCTCTGACTCAATATCACATTCGTCATTTCCACGCTTGATTTTGAAGAAACCTGAAATAAGAAGACAACAGAGGACGACACAGTTTTAGGCCAGCATTCCCACTCATCTTCAGCACTTTGTGTGACGTAGGCCTGTATGTGACACCGGCTATGTGCCTTACACTTTCATCCATACCTTCATCTCCCCAATCAGTATTCCAGGAGTTTGCAGCCAGCCAATAGGGCGTCCCATTCTCATCACCCCAGCCCAAGATCTTAATGGCGTGACCGCCCAGCATATCCCCTGTCACATGCTGATACACACCTACAGCAAAAAAAAAAAGCTCATTAAAGCAGAAGAAGGTTGTTCCTCTTTTGAATAGTACACATTTTCTGACAGGCGTTCTAAAGTGTCAGTGGAGCTTTTTCAGATTAGTGGTCGACTTGCTTGCTCTCAAACAGTTGCCCAATATTAAACTGAGACAAAGAAGTACGTTACTCATATAGAGTGACATTACTGGAATTAAATACATAAACCTCACCACTCTTATACAGCAGAAAATCTTCATAAACAGTGAAAGCTGCCTCCACAGGCCCGTTCTTGTACAGCTCCGTCATGATCTGATCCGGGTCCGACGGGACGCCGTATGTGCGTCTACCTGAAGAGGGACATACAGGAAACTTCAAGGACTGCAACAACAAAGTAAACCAATGCTAGGAGGGTGCAGAGTTTATTTTAATTCTCTGTACCAAAGTGTTTGTCCTTTTCATATGATAGTGAGTATCCATCAGTGCACTGCTGCACACACTTAGGAGTCTCTGAACTCCCACACGGAGGACGACTTCCATTCACATGATGCTCACAGGGGGCGATGGTGTAGGGTAGGCAGCCTGTAATAAACAGTCACGGTCAGTCCATTTAAGTCAAGTCTTTTGCTCCTCCCCAAAACTACTTAAACTGAATTCAGCAAATGGATAATGGACTTACCAACTTTAGAGTCATACAAGCCTCCTGTGACAAGCCCTTTCTTTGCCCAGAATTCCCAAGCAGCAGAAGGATAGCCACCATAACAGCTACACCAAACACAAAAAGACATAATGTGCAACATGAGTTATGTTATAGCTGTTTTACTTCATTTGATTTTTGAAGACTGTAATTATAAACCATCACGGTTTCTCAAAAAAAACTTTTTCCATGAAAACTTCATGCGTAGAATTAATGAACAGCCCATTTACTTATATACACGAGCCATTACTAATGCTCACCCCATGCCGCATTCATCACAGCAGGCCAACAGATCTTCAGCGGAGATCTCCACAGAGATCTTACCACCACTTTGGATACATAACCTGTCAGATATTGCCTCAGCTGCCCCAAAGGCCTGTGTAAAAATCAAACCGGGAACACTGAGAACATGGAAGTTGGTAATGATTTTTTTTAATGTCCCACCCTATCTCCTCTATTTGGTGGTGGTGTATTTTTAATTTCTTGGTGTGTCATACCCAACAGGACCCACAGGAGCCTTGATCTCTGATCTGTTGGATTGTGGCACAGTTGGGCCACTGTTTGCGTGCGTCAAAGCTGTCAGGAAGTTTAATGCCTTCAATATTATGAAGCCTAAACAAGAGAGAAAACAGAATCACTGCAGATTAGCTCAACCTGCTGCCTGTCACATGTCATCTCATGTGACCAGCTGTCCAAACCACCTGATAAACTTACAGCTCTGGTAGCTTGGGTCCATTCAGTATGGTGCCACACAGCTGTTTAACATAGGTGGCATCGATATTCTGGAAATTCTTTGTGGCCTGGAGCAAATAAAAAGGAAATTGGAGCAGAGAAATCATCGCTTACGGGTTGTTAACAGCTTCCTAAGATGTGGAAATATCCATAAAAACTGATTGCATGGTCTCACCGTCCAGGTGGTGTTAGCCTTGTTAATAAAATCAACCATCTCAGAGGAGAGAAGGGAGTGGTGAGGGTGTGCCCAAGTGGTGGACACCATCACCACTGCAGAGAGGAGGAACAGTGGACTCATCCTGCAAAACAGACATCAGTGATCATAGGAGGTGACCAGGAAACTGTTTACATGCACACAAAAGCACATCTCAGTGGAGCGTTACAAGGAAAGAGGCCATTTCCTTTATTTATAACCAACATGTGTTTTGCAGTAATGTTGCAAATACATTTCTGTACATAGGAACTGGGTCATGTATGAATGCAATGAACGTAGCTATTAGAAACAGATTAATGATAAATGATACTTTTAATCCAATTTCTAAAAAAGAAAATAGAGTTTAAAAGAACATTCATATTATCAGATGAATCAGAACTGCAGTTAGATTTAACATATATGTACATTGATTCAAGCTAAGAACAAAAAATGAAAACTTCAGCTTAAAAGACAATCACAAAGTATTAATCCAGATGCATATTAAACTCATGTGCGCAAGAAATCAGCATATTTGCCAAATGTCTTAATTTTTTTACCTGGGTTGCTGTTTTAGTAGATCTTTTTCGTCGTTCTTCTTCTCTCTGACTCAACAAACCTTACAGTTACCCTTCTTATAAGACTACAGTTGTTGATCACATGCCTGTGTAATAAATGCACCTGCATGTCTCATGTGACTAGAAGCCTGCCATTCCAAAGGTTGACCAAGCTCTTAAAATTATTATATGTCAATAACGAGATGCAGCTTTGTTTCCTTTATTTAACCATCAACCTTCTGATTCTTAATTTTGTTTAATATGTATGAACTTCTCCCATCCACACACACTGTGCATCAAAACATGAAATCACTCAAAATATTGGATTAATTGATATTTATTTCTTCAAATATGTACAAATCAAAATGTCACATTACATAGCAATGTTCCCACATTGTCAAACTAAGTACTGACATCATTACTCTAATCCAGTCACCTTCTTGCCCACATTCTTTGAGCCAATCAGCCTCCACTCCATGTGGTTTAAATCTCAACTCTCCGTCATTCTCGCTTTCAGACTCCCATTCATGCAACCCACCTCCTCCCCATCTCCACCTCACAAACGCTTCAGCTGGAGCTTCATCCAAGTGTAATCTTTAATTTTTTAGTTTAATTTTTTTGTAGTTTACAGGGGGGGCAAACCTGGAAATCATGGTAAAGAATTTCAAATAAACACCAAGACACAACAATTTATTCCCTCTTTATTGCATGAAATTTGTCAAATTCTGCCCCAGAATGAGGTCTGTCTTTTCTTCGATTTATTTCTTGATTGTCTGCTGTGATGATTATTTCATCTAGTTAAGCGGGATTCCTGTAACCACCTCTGACTCAATATCACATTCGTCATTTCCACGCTTGATTTTGAAGAAACCTGAAATAAGAAGACAACAGAGGACGACACAGTTTTAGGCCAGCATTCCCACTCATCTTCAGCACTTTGTGTGACGTAGGCCTGTATGTGACACCGGCTATGTGCCTTACACTTTCATCCATACCTTCATCTCCCCAATCAGTATTCCAGGAGTTTGCAGCCAGCCAATAGGGCGTCCCATTCTCATCACCCCAGCCCAAGATCTTAATGGCGTGACCGCCCAGCATATCCCCTGTCACATGCTGATACACACCTACAGCAAAAAAAAAAAGCTCATTAAAGCAGAAGAAGGTTGTTCCTCTTTTGAATAGTACACATTTTCTGACAGGCGTTCTAAAGTGTCAGTGGAGCTTTTTCAGATTAGTGGTCGACTTGCTTGCTCTCAAACAGTTGCCCAATATTAAACTGAGACAAAGAAGTACGTTACTCATATAGAGTGACATTACTGGAATTAAATACATAAACCTCACCACTCTTATACAGCAGAAAATCTTCATAAACAGTGAAAGATGCCTCCACAGGCCCGTTCTTGTACAGCTCCGTCATGATCTGATCCGGGTCCGACGGGACGCCGTATGTGCGTCTACCTGAAGAGGGACATACAGGAAACTTCAAGGACTGCAACAACAAAGTAAACCAATGCTAGGAGGGTGCAGAGTTTATTTTAATTCTCTGTACCAAAGTGTTTGTCCTTCTCATATGATAGTGAGTATCCATCAGTGCACTGCTGCACACACTTAGGAGTCTCTGAACTCCCACACGGAGGACGACTTCCATTCACATGATGCTCACAGGGGGCGATGGTGTAGGGTAGGCAGCCTGTAATAAACAGTCACGGTCAGTCCATTTAAGTCAAGTCTTTTGCTCCTCCCCAAAACTACTTAAACTGAATTCAGCAAGTGGATAACGGACTTACCAACTTTAGAGTCATACAAGCCTCCTGTGACAAGCCCTTTCTTTGCCCAGAATTCCCAAGCAGCAGAAGAATAGCCACCATAACAGCTACACCAAACACAAAAGACATAATGTGCAACATGAGTTATGTTATAGCTGTTTTACTTCATTTGATTTTTGAAGACTGTAATTATAAACCATCACTGTTTCTCAAAAAAAACTTTTTCCATGAAAACTTCATGCGTAGAATTAATGAACAGCCCATTTACTTATATACACGAGCCATTACTAATGCTCACCCCATGCCGCATTCATCACAGCAGGCCAGCAGATCTTCAGCGGAGATCTCCACAGAGATCTTACCACCACTTTGGATACATAACCTGTCAGATATTGCCTCAGCTGCCCCAAAGGCCTGTGTAAAAATCAAACCGGGAACACTGAGAACATGGAAGTTGGTAATGATTTTTTTTAACGTCCCACCCTATCTCCTCTATTTGGTGGTGGTGTATTTTTAATTTCTTGGTGTGTCATACCCAACAGGACCCACAGGAGCCTTGATCTCTGATCTGTTGGATTGTGGCACAGTTGGGCCACTGTTTGCGTGCGTCAAAGCTGTCAAGAAGTTTAATGCCTTCAATATTATGAAGCCTAAACAAGAGAGAAAACAGAATCACTGCAGATTAGCTCAACCTGCTGCCTGTCACATGTCATCTCATGTGACCAGCTGTCCAAACCACCTGATAAACTTACAGCTCTGGTAGCTTGGGTCCATTCAGTATGGTGCCACACAGCTGTTTAACATAGGTGGCATCGATATTCTGGAAATTCTTTGTGGCCTGGAGCAAATAAAAAGGAAATTGGAGCAGAGAAATCATCGCTTACGGGTTGTTAACAGCTTCCTAAGATGTGGAAATATCCATAAAAACTGATTGCATGGTCTCACCGTCCAGGTGGTGTTAGCCTTGTTAATAAAATCAACCATCTCAGAGGAGAGAAGGGAGTGGTGAGGGTGTGCCCAAGTGGTGGACACCATCACCACTGCAGAGAGGAGGAACAGTGGACTCATCCTGCAAAACAGACATCAGTGATCATAGGAGGTGACCAGGAAACTGTTTACATGCACACAAAAGCACATCTCAGTGGAGCGTTACAAGGAAAGGGAATAAGGAAAGAGGCCATTTCCTTTATTTATAACCAACATGTGTTTTGCAGTAATGTTGCAAATACATTTCTGTACATAGGAACTGGGTCATGTATGAATGCAATGAACGTAGCTATTAGAAACAGATTAATGATAAATGATACTTTTAATCCAATTTCTAAAAAAGAAAATAGAGTTTAAAAGAACATTCATATTATCAGATGAATCAGAACTGCAGTTAGATTTAACATATATGTACATTGATTCAAGCTAAGAACAAAAAATGAAAACTTCAGCTTAAAAGACAATCACAAAGTATTAATCCAGATGCATATTAAACTCATGTGCGCAAGAAATCAGCATATTTGCCAAATGTCTTAATTTTTTTACCTGGGTTGCTGTTTTAGTAGATCTTTTTCGTCGTTCTTCTTCTCTCTGACTCAACAAACCTTACAGTTACCCTTCTTATAAGACTACAGTTGTTGATCACATGCCTGTGTAATAAATGCACCTGCATGTCTCATGTGACTAGAAGCCTGCCATTCCAAAGGTTGACCAAGCTCTTAAAATTATTATATGTCAATAACGAGATGCAGCTTTGTTTCCTTTATTTAACCATCAACCTTCTGATTCTTAATTTTTTGTTTAATATGTATGAACTTCTCCCATCCACACACACTGTGCATCAAAACATGAAATCACTCAAAATACAGGATTAATTGTTATTTATTTCTTCAAATATGTACAAATCAAAATGTCACATTACATAGCAATGTTTTTAGCTCTCCTTTGGTTCTGTACAAAGTTACTCTGTGCTAGCCTTTCAACGCACCAAAGCAGTGTTAAGGACACTTAGCTAGCAGTCTCAGTATGCCTTTTTCTTCCCTCTTTTGCTGATGCTATAAAGGACCTGAAAATACATCCATTTTCCCCTTTTCATCTGTAATAAAAACTACCCTGATATTGCACATAATTGTTTTTCCTTAATTTTAAAAAAAACACAACGATGAAACAGATTAACACACAGAAAAGGACCGAAAAGGTTCAACTGTGATTGGAAGCCGTCGAACATACAGCGGAAGCGCTGCAGAGTGCACCAATGTAACTTTTTAGTGTTTCTGCTAGAGAAACACAAGTGGAATATAGAGCTAGGTTTGATGTGATATGAGAAAAGAAAGAAAAACAAGTGGTGGTTGTGGTTGTTGGTAAACCCCCCCCAAAAAAAAAAATCCTAGTATGTGCAGGATTAAACTGTGAACGTTTGTTTTCAATTATTCAAATATGATGAATAATTACAATTCAAACAATGTTTCAAACAAACTATTTAAAAAAAAACAAAAAAACACCCTGAACTGTGGAAGTGTACCATTTATGGCAAATATACCCACACACACCAATGTGTGTATATAATTTATCTAGACACAGGATGGACTGCTACAGATCAAATCGTTTAATGACACCAGCCTGCTAACAGAGTCATACTTTAGAGTGTCCATCATCCTGTAACAGCCACAGTGAATCTGTAAATTCCTCTAGAAACAGACCTTCAGAGGGGGCACAGGGGCTTCTTTTGTATAGAGGCTCAGGAAAGGTGGGGGTTAAATTAGTTCAAGGTCTCTGCATGTCACTGGTGCCTTGGGCCTGTGCCGCTGTAGTGCTAAGGTACTGCCAGCTGAGGGCAGCGAGCACCATAGCAGCAGAAAGGTACATGGGCGACAGGTGGTGGGTCCTGGAGCGGAGGCTGGACTGCGACAGGGCGGACTTTTCACGGATTACAGCCAAGATGTGGAGCGTCTTTTCCCGAGACGGGTCGGTGGGGGACACCTTGTGTAATATCTGGAGAGAGAGAGCACATTCAGTACACCAATATGGTGGAAGCAGTAGAGAGAGACTGAGTTTAAAGATAAATAAATAAAAATAACCCACCTCCTGGCTGTACTGGGCGATAATTGTCTGCACAGCACTCATATTGGTGGCTTCCATCATGAGAGTGACTGCCTGCCCCTTTCGGATCTTCACCACTCCCTGAAACACCATGGGGTTGTTGTAGCACGTTGACAGTGTAGCTATTGCCATCACCTGGTCAAGAGAGAAATGACAACATGTCAAGTGGAAGCGTTTGATCATTTCTCATGAGTCAGTATTCATTGGTCTCTCTATTTAAGTGCAACATTTTCCATCGTTTATCAGTTACAGAAAAAGTTATTATTAAAACAAAATATTAAAATGTTTCGCAAACTTTAAATGCAAATCAAAACGTGTTCCAGTAAGACTGTAGGACATGGACAGAATGGTTTGTTTTCTGAGCTTGAAAAATAAATAAAAAATGAACAGGTTTAAATGTTATGGTTTGGAGGAGATTGTGACGCAGCGCATACCTGTGGAATGGCACAGAAATTAAAGACGCTCTGGTTGCGCAGGCGGGACAGGTAGGCAATAACATCCGGGACGTGACGCAGAGCATCAGTGACCAGCAGGTTGAGACAGGACAGCGCCGACTCCAGCTTCTCAGGCTGGGCCAAATCCTCAAGACGGCCTGCAAACTGGCTCCAAGCCTGCACACAGCATGTAACAAGGATTTTATTTATCTGTACTGGCACCAGCCTTGGCTGGATTCTGTTCGTTATGTACTTCTTAGAAGCCTTGAGCAAATTTCTTCAAATTTAGTACAAACACTTATCCCACAGACCCGAGAATAAGTTGATTAGAGATTGGAGGCCAGGGTGAAAGCATGGCCACATGACTGTCCTTTTATTGTAAAACTGCAGGGTTCCTGAGGGACATCTGAAACTCTTCTTTGGAACGTTGACCGCATTTGGTCCATTTTCTGTCAAGACAACCCAACACTACTATCATAATGTTGAGCTCCTGGCTCTGGAGAGGTCACTATCCATGGCTGATAGTGTCCTCTCCGCGTTTTTCTATGCAGGTAGGTTTTCAATCTGATGGAATTATGAATGCAGAAAAGTACCATCGATTTAGACAATTTCTCCAACACCGCTGGCTGAAGTTCAGCCCAAATCTTGGGGGCATGACTTTCATATACCGTTCACCTGCTGTAGATAATTTTTGGAGACCTGCTTCCTCTTCTGCCCTCCACTTGTCCAGTTTCCAGTTTTAAGGACACACTACTAAAGATATGCCAAGTTTTCAGCTAATACCTCTTAAAGAATCACTTTGTTGGTACAAAAATACCATTTAAAAAGCTGTTAAACTCTGGCATAGACTCAACTAAATAAATGGGAACAAATGGTGTGCCTTTGCAACAGGCTAGTTACCAAATGCCCAAAGATACCATTTAAAATGGGTTATTTGCCAAGTTGACCGTTATTTGCAGACATCCCTTGAATTAGGTGGGTTTGTTTTGGGGTTGGTTTTTTTTTTTTTCTTTTCTCTCCATAGGTCAGTGTTAAGTGGCTTAACAACAATAACAACAACAGTCAAGGGTTGAGGCAAAATGAGTGAAAAAGCATCCAATGTCCAAAGACAAACTCTGAAATACCTACAGAAACCCTGGAGAACTAATGCTTCTGACCACTTTAAAAGGAAAGAAAGTCTGGGTCCTTGGAAGCAAAATATAAAAGAATGATAGGTGCATCAAGATTTTTTTCATAGTACCACATTTTCTGGTGTCACAGTGATCTTAACCTTTGACCGGCAACATAGATTTTCCTAGAGCTCAAGTAAAGGTTTGCACCACATTCTCAGAAATGTCAGAAAGGCCTTCTGTAGCCTACACAAACAGACGTTTGTACAACATGAAAACACTACAAATAGGACCACAGCCATCACTAGTGTTAAGCATAAATAAATAAAACAAATTAAAAAAAAAAAAGACATTACACAGTATAAAGCCCCTCCTGCATAGAAACAAATGTTACAAAGCACATTTTGTATTATGAATATGGCAGGTGTCTGTGAAGGTTCTCAGTCATCCAGGTCATTGTAGTCTAAGGAGCTTGGAAAGAAAAGCGTCTGGACTTTTTTAAGTTGCTTGAAATATGGCAGATATTGCTAAGTATTTATGACTGCACCAATGAGTTCAGTAGGAAATAGCATAATTCCTGGAAAATTGCCCCATTCATGGGAACATGGTCACAGCTAGATTAGAAACCCCTGGGCTGACGTATCGAGTTGATAACCTCCTTCATGCGACTGCTTGGCCCGATTAGGGTAAGCAAACCCAGATAAGTGAAAGATATCTTGGGTATTCTAAACTTGCTTCATAGTACCGGACCCTGGTCAGGCACACTGGTATTAGACAAGAGATTTTGTTTCTACCTCTTGTGGCCAGAAGGCACGTCCCTCTTGTGTGTCCTCTAGATAGTCTCGGATGATGTTAGTCTTTTGGAGAAACAGGCCCATGGAGTTCGCAAGTTCAGTGTCCTGCCCAACTTCAGGGTCCTCGAGCTGAGACGCAGAGAACAGCCGGGACAGGCCAATGCCGACTAAACCGGCAACATAGTGACAATACTGCACAAAAACAGAAAAACAAATCACAGTGCAGGACTTAAGAGAAACAAAATCCTGGCTTATGATTAAACATTCATATTATGTAATATTCAGAGCTGAATCATATAGCTACATGACAAGATTCTTTAGATTAAAAATCTCTTCTACAAGAGTGTCCTGGCCAAGAAAGACAGCAGTACAATCAGAGGAGTTTTATAAAACAGTAGCACGCACATGCACGCACGCTTCCATAAAGCAATTAAGTACAGGCAATAAAAAAGAAATATATAAAACCTCTGTCTCAATAAATAATGAATAAATTAGTCAAAATTGTCTACGGCCATAAATAAAGGAAACATTTAAAATCACCTTCCTTAAGTTCTGGTTGATTCTGCAGCTGATTTAAGAAGTAAGGAGCTGCAAATCTGAACGCTACTGTAGCTAATTCAATAAAATTGAAAGCTTACCATCTGCTCCTGAGCTGTACCAGTGAGTCAACAGCTAGTTTGTAGCTTACAAACCTCTGATAACATCCATTCCGTTTTTAATCAGAGTGATGACATTTTATTCAAAATAAAAGGCTTTTATTTTGCAATGTAATAATTCTTTTGGGTCGTTACTCCAGTAATTTTAGAACTTACTCTTTATGCCCCCCCCCCCAACTCAAAGCAGTCATTTATGTAGTCATTATGGTGCTAGAACAACTAACAGAAGCATAACATTTACCTGGTCCCACTCCTTCATAGATCCCACTTTCTTCTCCAGGAATTCAGCCATTCCCACTCCCATACGGTGGCAGATATCCGAGATGACGGCTCTGTATTCCTGAGCAAGGTTTCTGAATTCCAGCGATATCTGGTTTTAGAGGACAAAGGTTATAGTTACCAATTAGTCACTGCCTTAATTTGCCCAAACTTGGTAAATAACCCTTGAGAACTCACTGACCGTTGGGAAGTCTTCCAGGACCTGACGATCTTTCTCCTGGCTCTCCATGAAGCACCACTCATCCTGGTACAGGAAGG